CTCATCGTTTTAGGAACTAGATACTAATTACTGTGAAATAAACAAAAAACGGTAGACTGATTGAACGGGAAGGTTGGTGTAAGGACGCCATAGGGTAAAAAGGTGCATCAGGCGTTTTCATTTACTAGTAATGTACAGAGGTATGCATGAATGGAATTAATTCCCTCAACATATCACACAGGAAAACAATAAAGATAGATTTGAAATTCTATTGAAGCAGTGCCTTTTGACTAAAACTTAAATCATCCATAAAACAGACAAAAGCCTAATTAATAAATACCAAAGGTAAGTTTGACTGTGTGGGTGTTAAGGGTCTGTCTTTGTTTGTGGTGCAGGGATATTTAATTAGTGATGGTTTTATATTTTCATGTTTTCCAACTGAGACGACAAGAAAAGGTGACCTATATATAGGGGTGTGCCATATCATAAGGTTCACGATAATACAGGTATAATTTTTAATATCATATGAGCAATTCATATCATGATACTTGCGATATTTCGACTTGCTGACATTGACGTCATAATTTCATCCATGGCAACAACAAGCATGGCTGAAAGCGTAACTATTACCGAGTCTGCGGTGGTTCCAAAAAGAGGAGCAGCTTCCATAGTGCTGAATAAACTGTGGCGTCCTGAATGTTTTATGAACAGCCCCGGACTTCTCAGACTCATTTAGTGAATTACTGCTCAGAGGGAGCTCATTCAGCGGCTCCTCTGGCAGCAGCACAGCGTCTTTCCCTCTCCTCTCACGCTGTGCGCACACGGGAGTCCGTGTCATCAAGTGATTTTGTCGTAAACCTTTGGTAATGTAAACCTACGTGACGCTTGCGGCTCGACATAAAACTCCATATATCTGAATGTGTGATAGTTGTGGTATCATAGCAGCCTGTCACAGGTTACAGCGTGATGATTAGAGGAGAAATGGCAGAGCATAAAGGTCCAGGTGGGAAATATACCTATATAATATGACTCATACACTGAACTTAATGCGTGGTAAAAATGTTGTTTTTCCTGGGAACTATTCCTTTTAATGCACATGTAACTCATGTATGTATGTATGGAAATACTTGATCTAATATTACAATAATGTAGCATCATCAGGTAATCAGAGCAAAATTAAGCCCCAAACTGGCGGTTACTTACCAAATGCAATCATTAAAAAACATAAATCTTAATTATTGTAATAGTCTAGTGCTGTTATTTCAAGTGTTATATGTGAGATGTTTTGTGCACTGTAAAGTGTAAAGTTGCTGTGGACCTCAGGAAGAATAGCAGCTGCTGCAGTAGCAGATGAGGATCCTGATAAACGAAACTGAAGCTCTCTATCTCTGTCGGCTGTCTTACCTCGCTGACATGATGGCATACTGGTCTTTCCCCATGCAGATGTCCCGTGTGATGTAGGCATTATTGTCACATGACACTCCTGGGGCCGTGTAATTGGGCTGGCAGACGGTGAGGAAGAACGGGGCGTGGTAACCGGTCGCTAACTGGATGACATCTGTCACCAAGGCTGTTGCCAGGAGACCGAACACATGAACACCTGAGGGAGAGAAAGAGGCAGGAGACAGAGATAGAAACGATAAGGCGGCTTTGAGTAGATGAACTAAAAGCCCCTGGTGACTTCTTCAGTATGAGCTGCTCGCTGATGAACACCTGCGGGGAAAAAAAAAACGACACTAAATTTGCTCCAACAACCCGAAGTGACACCACGAGCCTTCTGTTTGTTACGTTGTGAGAGCTTTTCTGCAGACAGTGAAATTTAGCAAGGTGAATTAATTACTCTTTTCACTTCAAAGCTCAAAGTCTGCCTCAAGATATTTCCCATGGAGCATTATATCATGCCTATTTCTTTTCAAGTCACCCTTCATTTAATGCATGTAATTAGCTTATTTCCCTACTCTAAAAAGTGGAATCAAGTTGGAGGCTCAGCTGGTAACTGGAGCAATTTGTCTGAGCCGAAACTGATTTCCATCTTAACAACAACAGCATTTTGTTCTTAACTACTCTCAGCAGGCAGTTTTTCACAACCTCGACTCTGCTGATAGCCTAACGACCAAATGTGAAATACACATGGAGACGTGTTTCTCTCCCACTGACCTTACTTTGAAGGATTAATCCTCTGTATTGATAGCCATGTGCTTACATTACCAATACGCTGCATCAGGAATCACTATGTCAACCAACAGCCATATATCAAAGTATCCTAGGGCAAAAATGTAACCCTTACACTCACTGGCCACTTTATTAGGTACACCTGTTAAACTGCTCTTTAACACAAATAGTTAATCAGCCAATCACGTGGCAGCGAAGAAAGGTGATTTAAGTGACTTTGAACGTGGCATGGTTGTTGGTGCCAGACGGGCTGGTCTGTCAGAAACTGCTGATCTACTGGGATTTTCACACACAACCATCTGGTTTACAGAGGATGGTCCGAAGAAGAGAAAATAACCAGTGAGCAGCAGTTCTCTGGGTGAAAATGCCTTGTTGATGCCAGAGGTCAGAGGAGAATGGCCAGACTGGTTCAAGATGATAGAAAGGAAACAGTAACTCAAATAACCACTGGTTACAACCAAGGTCTGCAGAAGACCATCTCTGAACCAACAACACGTCCGACCTTGAAGCAGATGGGCTACAGCAGCAGAAGACCACACCAGGTGCCACTCTGGGATGCTATCATGNAAACCATTTCAGGTGACTACCTCTTGAAGCTCATGGAGAGAATGCCAAGAGTGTGCAAAGCAGTAATCAGAGCAAAGGGTGGCTATTTTGAAGAAACTAGAATATAAAACATGTTTTCAGTTATTTCACCTTTTTTTGTTAAGTACATAACTCCACATGTGTTCATTCATAGTTTTGATGCCTTCAGTGAGAATCTACAATGTAAATAGTCATGAAAATAAAGAAAACGCATTGAATGAGAAGGTGTGTCCAAACTTTTGGCCTGTACTGTATATATATACATGTCTATGTATATATGTGTCTTCTTCATATGTTTTTTTTATTCTCTTGGATGCAGATTTTGAATCAAGGCAGGAGACTTTCTGTGTGTCCATGGATGCTGTTTTCAGATATAACTGACCTTGAGTTACTACTTTAAAAAAATCAGATTGTTATGGATTTTATCCGTCTGCTCTGTTTAGCCCTGATCACACAGAAAGACTTTTAGCAGCTGGAGGCGGCCTTTTGTAATTGTTTTCAATGGGAGTTAAGCTTTTTGCTCACGTTTTTTCCTCAACTCCTCGAGTTTAAAAAACTTCCAACTCAGAGCAGGAAAACGCTCCACTTCATCTTATTTTCCATCATCTTTTTATCCCACTGTCCAATCGGATGATTTGAGAGGCGGGCCTTCTGTGGTGGTCACGACAACAAGTTTACAGTTGGTAAACAATGGAGGAGAAACTGGTGGTAACAGTCGCTGGATACCCATAGCTATACAGCCCGATGTTAGATAGCAGGTTGTCAGACTCATCCTAAAATATGCCTGGAAATGGCCATCATCGAGGAGAAGCTCCTGGACCAACTGGTGGTACTCCCTGTGATCCACCGTCTTTTTTAGGGTCTCATGTACCCACACAGATCTCTGTTTCCCTGTGCCCAACAAACTATTTGCTGACAGCCTCTCACCCTCAACCAGAGCTACAGCAAGTACCCTCTGCCTCATCGTTTTAGGAACTAGATACTAATTACTGTGAAATAAACAAAAAACGGTAGACTGATTGAACGGGAAGGTTGGTGTAAGGACGCCATAGGGTAAAAAGGTGCATCAGGCGTTTTCATTTACTAGTAATGTACAGAGGTATGCATGAATGGAATTAATTCCCTCAACATATCACACAGGAAAACAATAAAGATAGATTTGAAATTCTATTGAAGCAGTGCCTTTTGACTAAAACTTAAATCATCCATAAAACAGACAAAAGCCTAATTAATAAATACCAAAGGTAAGTTTGACTGTGTGGGTGTTAAGGGTCTGTCTTTGTTTGTGGTGCAGGGATATTTAATTAGTGATGGTTTTATATTTTCATGTTTTCCAACTGAGACGACAAGAAAAGGTGACCTATATATAGGGGTGTGCCATATCATAAGGTTCACGATAATACAGGTATAATTTTTAATATCATATGAGCAATTCATATCATGATACTTGCGATATTTCGACTTGCTGACATTGACGTCATAATGTCACCCATGGCAACAACAAGCATGGCTGAAAGCGTAACTATTACCGAGTCTGCGGTGGTTCCAAAAAGAGGAGCAGCTTCCATAGTGCTGAATAAACTGTGGCGTCCTGAATGTTTTATGAACAGCCCCGGACTTCTCAGACTCATTTAGTGAATTACTGCTCAGAGGGAGCTCATTCAGCGGCTCCTCTGGCAGCAGCACAGCGTCTTTCCCTCTCCTCTCACGCTGTGCGCACACGGGAGTCCGTGTCATCAAGTGATTTTGTCGTAAACCTTTGGTAATGTAAACCTACGTGACGCTTGCGGCTCGACATAAAACTCCATATATCTGAATGTGTGATAGTTGTGGTATCATAGCAGCCTGTCACAGGTTACAGCGTGATGATTAGAGGAGAAATGGCAGAGCATAAAGGTCCAGGTGGGAAATATACCTATATAATATGACTCATACACTGAACTTAATGCGTGGTAAAAATGTTGTTTTTCCTGGGAACTATTCCTTTTAATGCACATGTAACTCATGTATGTATGTATGGAAATACTTGATCTAATATTACAATAATGTAGCATCATCAGGTAATCAGAGCAAAATTAAGCCCCAAACTGGCGGTTACTTACCAAATGCAATCATTAAAAAACATAAATCTTAATTATTGTAATAGTCTAGTGCTGTTATTTCAAGTGTTATATGTGAGATGTTTTGTGCACTGTAAAGTGTAAAGTTGCTGTGGACCTCAGGAAGAATAGCAGCTGCTGCAGTAGCAGATGAGGATCCTGATAAACGAAACTGAAGCTCTCTATCTCTGTCGGCTGTCTTACCTCGCTGACATGATGGCATACTGGTCTTTCCCCATGCAGATGTCCCGTGTGATGTAGGCATTATTGTCACATGACACTCCTGGGGCCGTGTAATTGGGCTGGCAGACGGTGAGGAAGAACGGGGCGTGGTAACCGGTCGCTAACTGGATGACATCTGTCACCAAGGCTGTTGCCAGGAGACCGAACACATGAACACCTGAGGGAGAGAAAGAGGCAGGAGACAGAGATAGAAACGATAAGGCGGCTTTGAGTAGATGAACTAAAAGCCCCTGGTGACTTCTTCAGTATGAGCTGCTCGCTGATGAACACCTGCGGGGAAAAAAAAAACGACACTAAATTTGCTCCAACAACCCGAAGTGACACCACGAGCCTTCGGTTTGTTACGTTGTGAGAGCTTTTCTGCAGACAGTGAAATTTAGCAAGGTGAATTAATTACTCTTTTCACTTCAAAGCTCAAAGTCTGCCTCAAGATATTTCCCATGGAGCATTATATCATGCCTATTTCTTTTCAAGTCACCCTTCATTTAATGCATGTAATTAGCTTATTTCCCTACTCTAAAAAGTGGAATCAAGTTGGAGGCTCAGCTGGTAACTGGAGCAATTTGTCTGAGCCGAAACTGATTTCCATCTTAACAACAACAGCATTTTGTTCTTAACTACTCTCAGCAGGCAGTTTTTCACAACCTCGACTCTGCTGATAGCCTAACGACCAAATGTGAAATACACATGGAGACGTGTTTCTCTCCCACTGACCTTACTTTGAAGGATTAATCCTCTGTATTGATAGCCATGTGCTTACATTACCAATACGCTGCATCAGGAATCACTATGTCAACCAACAGCCATATATCAAAGTATCCTAGGGCAAAAATGTAACCCTTACACTCACTGGCCACTTTATTAGGTACACCTGTTAAACTGCTCTTTAACACAAATAGTTAATCAGCCAATCACGTGGCAGCGAAGAAAGGTGATTTAAGTGACTTTGAACGTGGCATGGTTGTTGGTGCCAGACGGGCTGGTCTGTCAGAAACTGCTGATCTACTGGGATTTTCACACACAACCATCTGGTTTACAGAGGATGGTCCGAAGAAGAGAAAATAACCAGTGAGCAGCAGTTCTCTGGGTGAAAATGCCTTGTTGATGCCAGAGGTCAGAGGAGAATGGCCAGACTGGTTCAAGATGATAGAAAGGAAACAGTAACTCAAATAACCACTGGTTACAACCAAGGTCTGCAGAAGACCATCTCTGAACCAACAACACGTCCGACCTTGAAGCAGATGGGCTACAGCAGCAGAAGACCACACCAGGTGCCACTCTGGGATGCTATCATGTCAATATGGACCAAAATCTATGAGGAATATTTCCAGTGCCTTGTTGAATCTATGCCACCAAGAACTGAGGCAGTACTGATGGTAAACTAAAGTTGCTTTCACACCTGCCCTGTTTGGTTCGGTTCAGTCTAACTCAAGTTCCTTTGCCCCCAAAGCGCGGTTCGTTTGGGCAGGTGTGAACACAGCAATCGCAGTCGGGTGCGCACCAAAACAACCAGACCGAGACCTTCTTGAAGTCCGGTCACAAACGAACTCTGGTGCGGTTCGTTTGTGGTGAGAACGTGTTCCGACCTGGATCTGAACCAACTGCAGTCACATGACACATTGTTTGGGTTAAACATGAGCATGTTACAGTCCTGGAGGATTATTAATGTGCACCTCCTCCTGTACTGCCTTAATATGCACATTCAGCACATCCAATGCATCAAAACATTGTTTTCCAGTTGGAGCCGCGCCTCGTTTTCAAACTGTATGGTTTGACTAAAATGAACAATGACAGCAATATAGTCCACGATGAGCAGCGCTAAAATCAACCTGTGTAGTTGTCCCTCCATTGTGACATTAGAAAGTGTCACATTTATCTTGCAAGTGTACTCTTCTTCAACGTTTGGTTTACTTCCTGGATTTTTCCCACATGGAAATTCTGACCAATCAAGAGCAGCTTTGTCGCACAGACATTTGATCTGGTCCACTTGTAAATGCTGCCGTGAGAACACGAACCAACTCTAGGCAATTATATAACTTAGTAACAAATTTAGTCAGTGACTCCAACCAAAGCAAGACAACTCTAGGTCTGAAAGCACCCTATAACTCTAGCAATATCTTACACATTGTACCTTTAACTATCATATTTTCGTTATTTTTACAGTGATAGCTCAAAATGACTCAAAAAGAGAAACGAAACACAATGCAATGCATGACTCTAAAGGAGAAAGATATATGTCTAGACTGAAAAGTACTTAAAAGAATTAACAAAATAGATAAATCCGAACACATTTGAGCCTGAACACGGCTTCTGCAGTGCTGTCACGCTTACACAGCTACTAATGTACTTAAATACACTTCACAAGGATTCACTTCAGTGAGGTGCTTGTCTTGGATCATTTTATATGCTTCTTCATCACCGACAGAAAAAGCATTTATGAGAAAATAATTCTGTTTGACAAACCATGCAGTTAACGAGACCCTCTGAAAGATGGCCCCTAAGGCAAACTGCACCGCAACTCCGGCTCTGTCCATAACAACTGCCATTTATCCTCCCAAACTTCCTCCGAAAAAGCCCCAGAAGGATTAGCAGTTGGACGTACCGACGAAGCGCACTGTTCTGCGTAGGAAGGAGTTGAAGCTGCAGCCTCCAGCGTTGATGCTGCTCTCCGACTTGGGACACGTCTTCAGTTTGGACTGCAAACAGTACATGAGGCCCTCCCCCAGCATGATCTACAGACAGAGGGAGAGAGGGAGGTAAAATGTGGGAGAAAAACTCATTTCTGTGTATTTATTTATGTTGTTTAGAGCACAGCGTGAGGCACTGAGAGAGGAATATAAAAAGGAGCAAAGAAAGAAAAGGAGAGGAAAAAGGATAAGAGCGCTATTAAAGTCAAATATCCATTTGTGTGATTGTGATCTACGGTGAGAGCAAGCTACTGGGAGAATGGAGGCGAGGTGCTATTGAATAGTGATCACTTCCAATCAGAGTGATAGATGAGTGTTGGGGAGCTCGGCTCGTTTCCATGCTGCTGATGGATTAGCAGTGTGTGTGTATTGATTGGGGAGAGGGGGGGTTGTGGCATGGTTGATGGTGTGTGTTGGAATGTCAGGTGTGTATTTATCAACGTGTCCATTGATTCTGCATTTCTGAGGGGAGACTGAATTTGTTCTGTGAGTGTTGGATAAGCCATACGTTTGCATATATGTGTGTGATGTACGCATTGGTAAAGAAGTGTTTTGGCGTGATGTATGTGTGTGTGGAGCGCACGAACAAACCCCCAAACCCCACGACAAATTAGACTGCGGATCCTCTGAGACAAGATTTTACCCCTCTGACTCCACTATGGGAAGATTTTATTCTTGTACAGCCTCACTAGACCAGATTTTTACATGAACAGTGGATGAAGTGTTGCTCAATGACAAAGCCGCAGGGTATTATTACTCAACAAGCTTTTTGGCTTTAGGTGGTACAGACTGTAATTCTCCTCCTATCAGGCCAGTTTGCAGAAGTGGCATCAGTTTCCGATGATACAAAGATCTCATAAACCAACTGTGCTCCACCTGCCCAGCACTAACAGGAATATTAGCAACTAGCTTTAAAGAAAGCGTAGTCTCGCTCACCAGACCTTTCTCAAGAAAAGAAAGGTCTGGCTGGGCCGACTCTCACTTTAAGATTGGAGAAAAAAACGCTCCGGCTGCTTGTATTTCTTTCAACCAATCACAATCGTTCTGGGCGGTGCCACAGCAACGGTGCGCTTGCAAAAATATTGCCGGGGGTAAACAGGTTTTGGTGTAACACGCCCACAAAAATATCGCCTACAGGACGCGAACCATGGCAGAAAAATGGCTACATCCCCGCAAGATCAAACACAGCAAAAGTTAGTAAATGACGTGTTGAAAACTGCAACCGGAGGTGGTAGGGCGGGACTTCAGCGGGTGGCTTGTTCCGCCCAATGAGAGGCTGATCTATGCAGCGAACTTCAGCCCACTCAGACTAAAGAAAGTGGAACATCCGGAAGGCAAAAGATATTTTTCTCAGGAGCTGGTGGCGACCAAAACAGAGCTACAAGGAAAGACTCTGACCTCACATTCACCAAGTCTAAACGAGCTATATACGCCAGTCAGAGCGGGACCTGAGAGTGTCCCACTGGCTAGCTTACCGCCATCGCCCCCGTTCACATACAATGGTTATCTGTTATCAGGATGGTGCTGTCGTGGAAGCGTAGCGCCCATCCTCCAGTTTCCCCACAGGTAACACTGTTAGCTCTGTCAGTACGGTTGCAGCTGTTAGCACTGTTCGTTGAGTTAGCACGGTTAGCTATTGGCTGTAGGCTCAGACACCTCCATCTTAAGAACCGTGTACAGACTATCCCACCCCAGACTCTGAATTATAGATATGCTCTGAATATCACATACACCTCCTTTAAATGAAGCTCAGCGTAAGTTCAATCAGGAAGACTTTCTTTGCGCTCCCACTGCTTCTTCTAATCAGCTGACTATGAGTGTTCACTCTTCTAGTTATCCAATCACACTTTGCCATGATCTCTCTCAGTCAATCAGGATGCTACTGCAAAATTTTAAATCTGCTCTCTCCTCTGCTGCTGTCAGCTGTCTTTTTAGGCAGAATTGTCGCGCCCTCCTCCATCCCGTTCACCTCCAGCCATCGCATCCAGAGTCCAGGACGAGCCCAACAAAGGCTCATTCCTCTACTCATCCAGATCATCAGCACTTCTCCATCTTCCTCTCATCTCATCTTCACCACCTCTACCACCACCAGCATCTAGACACCAGGTGGGGTAATCGCCAAAAACATTTCACATTTTTCATTCTTAAGTGCACATGTTAATATCCTTTTACTATTAAAATGAGTCTCTCCCGATTGAAATAATTCTGTATGCTGCTAAACACTAGAGCAGTCACTAATGCTTTTATTTCAAGTGGAAAAAAATCTGGTAACATTACACAATAGTGAAATTAAAAGGCTAGAGAGTCAGAACCAAGATCAGCGAGCACAGCCTATCTAAGCTCTCTGTTGGATCAAGAAACAGCTTCTTTTTAATAACAATACACATTATCCAGTGCGGACTCACATTTATCAGCAAAACTATCAATACCATACACACTCCTAGTATCTCACTCCCAACTCTTCATATACAGACACTTGCTCAGTGGCCCTACACAGTCAGTTTCAGCTCTTTATATTCATATTGTCCTGTAAAATAAACTTTTGTGTTCACAGGAAATGTACAGTTTCCCTTCATTAAATGCATACAGTCTCTTTACAAAGGAAACTTCCAATGTAGATTTACTTATCCTACTTTTTAGGTTTTCTTTGTTAGGTTTAAAAACAAAAGTCCGAAGCTGTTCATAAATCATTCAGGAACCCCAGGCCTAATGAAGCCGCAATTTAATTCACACTTTTGGAACCATAGCAGAGTCAGTAATAATTTTGCTTTTAGCCATGATTGTTGTTGCCGAGGGTAACAGCACGATATGAATTATTATACCGGTATTATCGTGAACAAGATGATATGGCAAATCCCTACTTAACATTGACTTTTGGTTTCGCACAGGTCACAAATTGCTGACTCGTGGGTGAAAGTCCTGTATTTGACCCACCAGTCCACCCTGATCACTTCCCTATGCTGACTTTCTCTTTAGACTATATCAGTTGCTCTGAGTGTCTGATAATGATGCAGCCCAGTGCGTCTCATGCAGACACTAAAAGGTGCTTTGGTGCGTTAGAATCAGATGCAGAGGGCCACTGAACAAGGGCCAGTATTTGATATGTTAGGAGTGAGAACAGGTTGATGCTACAGGCATTTATTCACTATGGTGTGGCTGTGTTCATTTAAACCGGTGGTTGATTTAATGTAATCCTGTTTTGTTTTTAGGAAAAAATATGAATACATAAATCACCATGTAAAAATCCATTGGATCAGCTATGCATTTTTGAGAAAATTTAAGAGAATATTTATCGGCTTTTGAGAGAATTTGGCACACAGTACCATAGGCATCCATGAATTGAACTAAGCTTGTCTAACATTACCATTCACATGCCTTAAAAACTGCAGGCAACAAGGAAAAAGAGCACAATTGCCCCAAAAATGTCAGTGGTGCTTAAACTTCCCTTCAATTTGCGAGAAACTTCCTTTTATCCCCTCCAACAATGTGTGTGTGTGTTTGTGTGTGTGTGTGTGTGTGTGTGTGTGTGTGTGTGTGTGATGGACTTACAGATGCTGCAGGACCAGCGAAGGCCAAACTCAGCAGCATCAGCAAAGGGATGAGCTCATCACCCGTCTCCACGTAGGGCATGGAGAGGTCACGGTCATGGCAGCGGAAGCCCACCATTGCCGGGGACAACACATCTGTCAGCTCCAGGAAGTACAGGGACACCAAGGAGGAGAGGACGATGGGGAGCTAGACAGAGGCATGTACGCCCACACACATACACACACATACACACACCCACCCAACACACGCACAAGGACAAGGACAAAGCAAAGAGTGACTAGCATCCAATATTTGCTTGGAAAGGTGCGATTCATCCAGTGTTTTATCTCAGCTCCTACCGCCACAGCTAACACACACACCTTTAAACACACACAAGGGACAAGAAGAAAGCGATGACACCACAATATTTGCCGGTGAAAAACATCACAGTCTGCTTTCAGTAGAGGTCAGATGCCTCCAGATGCAATGAACATAAAAGCTCACTGCTGGTATGACTCCATACAGCAGAGCGACTGATTCAGCCGGTGATCGATTCGGTAAATCTAGTGAGTCATGTTGACCAAGCATTGATGTATAAAAAGAAATGATTCATCAATCTATTTATACGTACCTCTACAAAATAAAAGCATGGCAGCAGCGTGATGCTGTCTTTGGGTGGTTTCTTCTTGGCTTTGTTTTTGGGGGACGTCATCTTGGGGTGGGACCAGTCACAGCCTGTTGGAATAACAGATTGCAGAGAGGTGTCAGGGACGAGGCTTCAGAGCACTTTCATGGATTTCCACCATCAATATTTCTGAAAGCATCAAAAAGCCACTCCAGCTTCCTTCGGTTTGATGAATGAAACATAGGTTCGATAAGTTTTCAAAGGCTGGCGAGAGGTTTCACAGTGCATGAATTACAATGCATTAGTTTGAAAAATGAGACCTCCCATTAGTAAAATGTATTCAGAACAATGTTGTTGTGGTGTTGTTGGTAATGAGGTGCATTATTAGTCTTTGCACACAGACGCACAAGGTTATTAAGATGCTCTAGATGCCGAAAAGTCAGGGCGAAATCTACAAACAGAAATATTAAATTCCAAGGGAAGCTTTTAACTTCCAAGTGGTTTCCAGACAACAAATTCATCCGCCTCACAAACACATAGACATACACGCATGCCGACATCTCCTGCCATCAATAACCTGTAGGCGATCAGAAGGCCTCAGAGAGAAGCGAGAGCCAAGGGCCCGAATGGAAAACTAAACAGTGTTAAATATTCACAGCTCTCCCTACAGCTCCCCATTTCTGCCCATCCTTCTATCTCTGCATCTGTCTTGCATTTGCCTCCTTCTCCGTCACTCAATCTCACCATCTTTACCACGCTGTGTCCCATTTTCCTTTATCACCTTCTCAATCACCCTCCATATATACTTCCCTTTTCCTTCCAGTCTGCTTCATTTTTCTAACACTTCTCTTTTCGCCTCTCTTTTTTTCTTCGTCTGGATTGTCTGGTTTCCTACTCCAACATCCACATCTGTCCCGATATCTCAGTTTGCTTTGTTTGGTCAGTACTGACATGACCCTTTGGCAGCCACAGTTTTGTCTAGTAGGCTGATATTTAGCATTGAGGTCAAGTGTGTGTGTGTGTGTGTGAAGGTGTTATTTTGTGTTTCTGCTGATTGGCTTAAAATAGGGGTGGGGGATGGGAGTGGCCTCCTGCCAAGAGGCACATAGGTTCCAAATGGATTCACAGATTGGGCCAAGATTTTATGAGAACATTGTTTTGAGCCAAATGAAGCTGATTAACTGTTCATGCTGATTGGTAAAATGGACCAACGCATGGATGCATATGTATACATGGTTGCAGCTATTGCAAATTCGCACTTGTTAATATAGACTGTGTACCAACCAATATGATGAACGTGAGGATCTGGTTTTGCTTAAAAGCCTCAGAGGTGTGTCACTCAGGTGTGCAACAACACATTCTCACTCCCAACTCCTAAATACTGACTGTTGTTCAGTGGCTCTGCACATCCAACCAAGACACTCTAGCCACCCTCGAGCATCAGCTCTGGACACCCAGGGCTGCCCTCTAATAGTTGAACATACGTTAGTTGACCAGAAAGGTTATCAGTCGGCAAGACTTTATTAGTTGCTTAGTGGCAGGAAAAAAAACAAAACAAAAAACATGAAACTCTGTTAGGAGCTGCACCTTGTCAAAATAAATCAAAACCTATATGACTGGACCATGTGGGAATTTAATTCGAAAGGACAGACACAGGAAGAGGCCACGCTCAGCAGTCAGATAGGAGTCACGTTACGAACCAATCACAGCTGACAGATATCTTTCCCTTCTTCTGTAAATATTCAGTCTGATAAATACGGAAAAGTTGATCATGTTACCCCAGGGCCACACCGGACGCGGAAGCGCTGCGAATAGCCTCGAAGCGCCGTGAAGCAAAGCCAGTTTCCTTTCGGAGCCCATGTTAACCGAGTGTGTCATCCACACCGGTGATACAGCCTCTGGGGGCAGACCCCCAATTTTTTGGCATTCTGGTTTGATTTGGGCGGAGGAGGCGAATTTCTCTTTCCGACTTCCGTTTATATACAGTATAAGTAAATATGCTGAACCATTGCGATGAATTCAGAGTTTGCAATGGCGCCAATTATGTTAATTAACCTGGCAACAACTGCAGCCGGCTCAAACGTGATTGATCAATATCACGCGGACTACAAACAGCCTACAACCGGAAACCAGGGCTCTTCCGCTCTTCTTCCGGAGGCAAGATCTCTGGGGTTTGCCTACAGACTCTACAGTCTGTATATAGAGACTACCAAGCAGTTTAAGATGCAGCATGTGTTTGGCCCCTAATTTCCAGGGCTGGTACCTGCGGTTATTCCACAAGCTAGTTAATAACATGTCAGGCAGGAAATCCTTTTGAAATCATTTTGAGAAGGTGAAGGACGAACCCAAGGTGATATGTAAACTCATCTTCATTGGTCGACTACAAACATGACGTATCATCTGAAACATGGAAGTAGCTACATGCCCATTAGCCCACAGCGTCATTAACAGGCGGCTCAGTGTGTGACGTGCACTTGTAGATAAAATATAGGCCTATATTAATGAAGGTTCATTAGTACGGTTTTGTATTTCTCTGTAATGTAGCACAGTGTTAACAATGTTACTGATACTATTCTTTCTCACACCTTCAACTCAAACCATTGTGTTGCCCCACCCAAAATACATTATTTAATAATTAAATTAATATCGTAAACATGCGGGCAGTCTGGGGCAGCCCGAGTTGTTACTAACATAAAGTAACATCACGTGATGATTGTCACTACACACACTAGCACACTATGTTCAAATAATTCAATTGACTTTTGGTCTCACATGGGACACAAACAGTGGACCCCAGGATAAAAGTTCTGAGCTTGTTTGACCCATACAGCCTCCCTCCCGCCGTATTCGGACTTCCTCCCCCTTTATGGCAGAGTTATTGCCAGGAGTGTCAAAAACTGCCACTGCCCAGTGCTTCTGATACCGCCGCTAAGGGTACCTCTGTGCATCAGTGTCTGATGTCAAGGGTCACTAGCCAATCATCAGTTTTTGGCGAGTTGGTAGTGAGACCAGGTTGAATGAAACCTGCTGCACTTTGTGTCACGGACCTGCTGAGCCAACGAAAAATGAATTATACTATCCAGAATGGCTTTCAGTGGAGAGTTTTGTCCTCCCATTATTGTGTAAATGAGGTTTTCTACTCGCAATTTCCTTTTTCTGGCACACAAAATGACAATCTTTAAGGCAGATTGAATTTGAGCACAAAATCAGCTGATCTGAAGCTTCATTCCAAAAATACTTCCCTTCAAGAAACTCAGATTGGCTGAAAGCTGTCTCGGCATCTCTACCTCTTTCTGCCTCTTTCATCTCCTGTCTCTCCGTTTTATTGTCGTTTGCTGGGTGTTTGCTTAGCTTTGCTTATTTCCCCCTCACTGGCACTTTCTTTCACTTCACTTTTTTTGTCTTTTTGCAGTTTGTGTACAAATCCCCGTCTCTGCTTTTTCGACCCTTCTGCACCCTCCCTTCTCTCGCCATCTGTCCTTCTGTCTTAACACCTCTCTCCCTACCTCTCCCCCCTTCTTTTAATCTCCATCCTCCTTCCTCACTTTCTGTCTCTCTTTCTCTTCAAGATAAGAGGGCCTGACCCTGAGGCGGTGTGAGGCAGAGAATCAAAGACTTCTACAGTCTAATTTCCATGACCGCTAGAAATGAAGAGGAGAGGAAAGGAAAAGAGAGGAGAGGAGAGGAAAGGAGAATAGGAAAGAACTGGGGACAAGATAAGCGGAGATCAAAGACGTAAAGAAGAGGAACGATAAAAGCAGAGGAGTGTAGCGCCAGTTTGTGTATATGCGTATGTCTGGTGGTGCTGGTGGGGGGACAGGGGGGTTAGTGGGGGGTTGGGGGGGTATGAGGATCAGAGACAGGGAGGATATTGGGATGGATGGATTCCAGAGTAGCTGAAAGCAGCTTAGGGAAGACGCTGGGTCCTGGGTCTCACTCTCACAGCCGCTTGGTCTCAGTGACCTACTCCAGTCAGCACTTAAACCTCACCCCAACACACACACATACACGCACATGCACACACACAGAATGAGCCTCTTTACTGAAGAAAGAAGCCTGTTTATCTGTCACACCAGCATTTGTCCTCTGGGGCTCGACATATGTGTGTGAGACCGCAGAATGTGTATGCTGTGTGCTTGTGCTTGCAACATCAAGGCGGCGTTTGCGTGTGTGTAGTCTAAGCAATGCATGTCACGTCTGTGTGTGTGTGTGTGCATGTGTGTGTGTGACTGAGGTGGGCTGTATAGCCTGCGGTGGACAGAAACAGTCTGTCAGTCTTGTCAGACAGCGAGGAAGATACAAGACTCAGTGACCACCAACACGGAGACGCAGTGGAAGTGTTAGAGTACAGAGTAGTGTGGTTTGGAACAGTTCAGTGTAGTGCAATGACTTTTTTATGTCAGATTATTGTTGAGTTACTTTAAGATTCATGGTGATATCGTACATGTATATATCTACAGTATGTAAGTACGCTTTAGGTACAGACAGGTGACAAATATCAAATGTCTCAGTAAGAAAAAGCTTCAGCGCTTCTTGGCATAGATTCTCCATGTGTCTGGGAGACTATTGGAGGGATTAACATCAGTCTTCCTAAAATTAATCCCTAATTTGATGTTTTCGTTTCGATGTCTCACTATGAGAATCTCACTCATGCTACTCTAAGAACTGGGTTTACACATGTAACCTAAAGTGATGGTGTTGGAGAATGCTGTCAAATACGCCAGCCTAGAATCCCCATTGATGCTGATCTAGTGACGACTGAATTATAGGGTTATCAAACCATGCCGTGAGCCCTCATCTACCTTTGTTAAGTTTCTCCTCTCACTTGTTCTGGTATTTCTTAATTTGTCACCCATTTATATATTAGAGCACAGCACAGCGGTTCTCAACCTTTCCATGTCAAGGACCCGTAAATTGATACTCATTAGGGGTCTCATTCATGGCTTTTGTCAATACGTACATTTTAAGTATGGATCCTTCACACTGTTCCATAAATGAGACCCCTGGTCACGGACACCCATTTGATAAGATTCTACTTCAGGGACCTCTATCCGAAAGGTTTTGGTTGTCAGATACGATTACAACCTGAATTCTGCAGCTGCTAACTACAGCTGAGGAAATAACCCACCGGGCCACCTATTTGGTTGGAGGTTGATAATTGGTTGAATTTAGATTGTGACATAGGGTGGCCTGGAACACCAGGAACACCACAGAGGTCAGATGCATCCAGATGCAGAACACGCTGGAGGGATTGAATATCTCGTCTGGCCTGGGTACGCCTCAGGGTCCCAAAGGAGGAGCTGGAAGTGTTGCTGGGGAGAGGGATGTCTGGGATACTTTGCTCAGCCTGCTGCCCGGCTTCGTATATGTGGTTGAAAACGGATGAATAGATGGACTTAAGGTGCGGACACACCAAACCGACATCAAAGAACTAGCGGCGACGAAAGCCAACTGTAGCGTCGTCTACGTCGCCTCATGTCGCCTCATGTCGCCTCATGTCGCCTCACGTCACCTCACGTCGCCCTGTGTCAGTTGCATTTGAACACACTACACGGACTACATCCGACGGCCAAGTGGCACATACGTTCTGTGCCTGCGTGAGAGAGAGCGGAGTGAGAGAGTGGTACATCCTGTCAGCCGAGGGGTTTCCTATCTGTGCAGCCGAGCACCGCAGCACCTATACGGACTATTACATCCAGACGGTCCCGGTGTTTTCTCCGCAGGCTCCACTTCACTCAGCTGCCTCACAAACCTGCTGCTTCTTCCCTCTTTAACCTGAATAACAAACTGGGGCTCGGTGCTCTGGTTGGATCCAAACGGAGAGCCGGGGCTAGCTGGGAGGCTAACGGAGGCTAACTGGCTGTGCTTCCCTCCGGTCATGCTGCGGCTAACGCTCCGCTAGCTGCTCCCAGCTAGCTCTGGTTTGTTATTCAGGTTAAAGTGTGAAGAAGCAGCGGGTCTGTCTGGCAGCTGAGTGAAGTGGAGCCTGAGGAGGAAGCACAGGTTTGCCCCGGTTTCATTACAGGCAGATTCACTCACTACAGGGGCGAGGAAATAAAACCTGAACAGCCAATCAGAGTGATCTCTCTTACCGACAAGCTCCGCCACTGATTCAACATGCTCAACTGGCCGATAAGCCGCCGACGCCGGCGGACACTACGCAAAAACTAGGGTGACAGATGCTCATCGACAGCCCGACTTTGGTCGACGGCCGTCCGTCGGCTTGGTGTGTCAGGGCCTATAGGGTGACCAAAATTTAATGTCAGGACAACGTCTAATGCCAACATTAATCTTACATAGAATACTGACGAGAAATGACGTTGATATTTTGTTGGTTTTATGTTGTGAAGTAAACAAAATCGACTGTCTGTCAAAAAATCTCACGCCAATGTCAGCAACATTTGAGACAGACAACCATTCACACTCATATTCACACCTACGGACAATTTAGAGTCATCAATTAACCTGCATGTCTTTGGACTGTGGGAGGAAGCCGGAGTACCTGGAGAAAACCCACGCTGACACAGGGGGTTCGAAACCAGGAACCCTCTTGCTGTGAGGTGACAATGCTAACTACTGAACCACTGTGCAATATCGTCAACCCAATTTTCATTCCAACCAAAATTTAACGTCCGTCTGACGTAAGAGTCCAACGTCTTTCTGACGCCATACTAACGTCCAGTGCCCGCTGAGAGCTGTGGAGGAAGTAAAACCTGTAAATATATTAAACTTTTTTCCATTTTTTCTGGGGATCTCCCAGGAACTCCCTCTTGGACCCCTGGAGGTTCCTGGACCTCTGGTTGAGAACCACTATTATAGCCTATATGTTCTGTATATTATAACTCATTTAAGTGTAGTACGGCACTGCATGGCACAGAGCTGAAACTATCAGACAATTAATCAATTAGCTGATTAGCAAATTAGTCTGCAGCTACTTTGGGATTACTGTGACTCATTTTTCAAGTAAACACTGTGAGGATTTACTGCTTTACTTTGATTTATGTGATAATAAACTTGATATCTTTGGGTTTTAGTCGGCTAAAACAACATCTGAGCATGTCACTGGGCTTTAGCAAACTGATCTGCATTTTTCATTATTTGGTGACATTTTTCAAACAACTGAATATACTGATTAATATAGAAAATCATTGGCAGATGAATCAATATAATTGATAGTTGCAGTCTCAGCATGGTGCAATATAACAGTGTTTGAACCTAAGGGGCTATGACATGATTGAAATGACTGGTAAACATGTCGATGGTGTACATTTATGATTTTTAGTGAACGAGGAAGATCTTTCTTCGGCTTTAAATGTGTGATGCTGCCTTAAAAATGTGTTTTTGATGTTGCTTTAGGAAAACCATAGATTTTAGTTAATCATGTCCAAGACAAAGTGATATTTGACAAGTGTCATGTTTTCATAACATCACCAGGATTTTGAATTTTGTCAAATTATAAGGAAAAAAGCACTTGCCATATGAAAATGTATGTAGGTATGCTTCTGTATGAGCAAAGATTTCTATACAGTATTTACAATATTACCATTTGGTTTAGTATAACACTGACATGGATCCCTTCTTCCAACAGACCATTAAGCAAACATTAAAATCAGATTGTCTACACTAAGTCTGCATTCTTACGATGATCCATGGCTAACAAACATGATAAACTTCAACATGAATTAATGAGGTGACCGTAAAGTATAACAGTACAGTTGATGCACTCATCCATCAAGAAAGTTACAGTGCTACTGTAGCTGCACAGCCATGTCCACTGCAGGGCCCTCAGCAGCCTCAGAGACATAAAGGGCCATATGCTCCACTTAATGTGGAGGAGGGTTTACACAACTCAGATTACCTGCCTTTAAATAGGAAAACAGTTCAAGCATCATATTAGGAGGGTATTAATGATATTAATATGAATGCAAAAGCTGTATTAAAGATGAGTATGATGGTTGCATTTAATTTTAATTACTGTTTCCCCTTCTGGTGCTTACAGTTTGATTTTTTGAAGCTACTACATATAAAAGGGGCCACAATAAAGCAACACAATGCCGTATGGGCTATTGATAACATAGCTGTTACTCCACCACAAGCACAAATCAGCAGATTGCGTATGAGATCATCAATTATGAACGTGAAAACCATGTGCTGATTTCTCCCTGCTCGCCTCTCAGCTCGTGCCAGGAGGAGCGGTAGGGTTGCTGTCGAGAGGGGGGGTGGGATGCATGCATGCTGGGGAGGGAAGAGAGAGAACTGCGATGGTACCGGACAGCCCGAGCCACTCACCTCTGTCCCGGGGGCTCCGTGAATTCACCGAGTCCCGTCGCCCCCTTCCCCCCCGGCGTGGTCGTGCGTGCTGCTCCAGTTTGGCGTGTCTGCACACCGTCCCTTTAATCCATCCTCTCCAGCGGCTCCCAAGTCACCCCGAAATCCACAAGAAAAAAAAAAAAGAAACCTCCCCTCTGATATTTAGAGAGCGCTCCTCCGGTGTGAGGCTATTCTGGGATGAGTGAAGGAGACTAAGAGAATGAGGCTGGATGGGAGTAAGTGGGGAGACCTACAGAGGAGGAGCAGGGATGGCGAAAGAGAGAAGAGAGGAGAGAGGAGAGAGGAGGGCTGCTGATGGTGGAAAAGTCCAATTTGCGGCACTTGCTGGTAACGCGTTCCTCCTTTCTATTTCCTGGCTTTGGAGAAGTGAGAGATTCACGTGCGTCCACGCTGCTTCCTCCCCTCCTTTCAGTTGCACCTGCAAGTTTTCCCACAGAATCTATCACACGGACACATTTGAAATTCCAAAAACAGAAAGCTTATTCTCTATGCAAGGCATCCGTCACTCGGTTTTCGGGTACGCAGTCAGCCTCACAGCGCGCACATACACACACAAAGGCATGGGGCTGTGGAGGAGGAGGAGGTGGAGGTGGAGGAGGTGGTGGTGAGGGGGGTACAGGGGGAGGAGAGAGTGTGGTGTGTGCGCTTATGGTGGGGGGAGGAGACAGTCTGGTCCACGCTTCTCTCCTCCTTTCCCTGCTGAATTCCTGTTTCGGGGCGACCGCCGTGAGGCGACCGAGACAAAGGGGTAGATTTTGGGAATGTGTGCGTGCGCGTGTGGAGTAAACGCGGCCGTGCGCATGTGCGCGTAAAAGCGAGGGGGCGTTTTTTTTGGAGATAACCTCTCATCTATAAGCAGGAGCCAGTTTTAATTATAATATTGAGGCTGAGCATCAGATACGCCTCGCGCCTCTTGTGTAAACAGCATCACACCCGCTTGTTTGACCCCCTTCATCTCCTTCATCTTCCCACGGATGATGCCTCGGATGCCTTTGTTTACTCCACAAGGGTGTGGCAGGCGTCTGACCACTGTGGTGCATTTGGATTCCCCCCCGGAGGTCGTGGCCACGCGCGCACGCACCGTTTTTTAATTGCCACCCTCACATTCACATTGAGCATCACGTTCACAGACACCTCTGCGATTCCCTGACTCATCATGAATGACATTGCGGCAATTAACATCAAAGAGTGGGCTGTGCGTGCACTTTGGTGCGTGTGTTTGTGTGTCTGCTGGAGATGTTCTCTGCAAGAAATCCATATCTCTCTCTCCCACGGTTATCAATTCTTAATGGGGCTTTAAAACTGAGCCTAAGTATCCGTTTAGCACCATCCCTCCACGTTTCTTCCTCTCATGTCAATCATGGGTGTTGTGACACATTCACGGACACTTGCAGGCTGTGTGTTAATATCTGTGCTGGCTAATTTCAGAGGAAGGCGCCTGCTGACCAACCAGCCTCCAATGGTTTTACACTCATTCATGCATTTGCACACAGGGGCACCCACACACACACACACACACACACACACACACACACACACACACCATCCTCCCTCTGCCTCTCAATCTCTGTCATTTGGCTCTGTGCTGCTCAGTGCTAGATGAATGAGGGTGGGGGTGCCCCATTTAGTGTTGATCCTGTCTCTGGTTGCCAGGGAGTTTCTCTGGTTCTCATGGGGTACTCCCTCCCCTGCTCCCCTCCTCGTTCCCTGCCCAGAGCCCCCACCCCGACAACATCTCACACACACCGCCACCGCCACCACCCCGCCAATAATACCCAAGGGCTGGTCACAGCTGGCAGGAGCTAATAAACTCATCACTCACAGTGCCTGCCTCCTATTTACCTATGAGACAAAGCACTATAAAGAGGGAGGGAGAGACACATCCGAGGTGGAGGTGGATGAACGCTCCTCTACGCTTCCCACAGACTACTCATACTCCTCTCAACATGGTGGATGGCAGTAACGGCGCCTCTGAGATGCAGAAATCACCACGATTTTGTTTTACTTTCAACCAGCATTAGTGCATTATCAGCACTCTTTGCTATTAACCCCAGTTGGATGGTAATTGATTGCCGCAGGGATGTGCATTGGGGATTCTTAAGTTTGATTAAAATTCTTCTTGACTGCTGTTCACACATGTGACCCAATTACTTCGCCTGAGCAAAAGAAAATCTTCATTCAGATATGTGTAAACCACATGCAGACACCCACACATGCAGCACATGTGCGTGTTTGCACAGCAGGGGTAGGCGTCCCTGCTTGTACATAGAGTAAACGCACACTTCCAGGCTCATGTGCTGCATGAAAGCGTCTATAGGTGGATCTGTGCATGTCGATACACTCAATCGTCCGTCTATGAAAGCCCACACAATCCTGCCATTGGATTCCCATTGATTTCTCGGCACACCCTCTCACCTGACAAAGAGCCCATTGTTTGTTTTATTACAACAAGGAGAAATCAGCCATGTGCGAGCGCGGGGAACATGTGATTGATTGGCTTTATCACCGCGCAATTATCTTCACTTGATACACTCTGGTCGATGCACCGGCGCTAAATCATCAGCATGCTACACCCTTCTCTCTGTCTCTCTCATCCTCTTCAAACATCCCACACGCTGTTAGCTCTCATCTGTACTGAGGAGTTACATTCTGTGGTGTCAGTTTCCATTCTTCCTTCACACCCAGTGTCACCTTTCATATGAGCACTCAATTTCCAGCATTAGCTAGTAAATGGTGTTTTAAAAGAATATTAATGTCACAGTGATTATGTGGTTGAGAAAACATTTCACTGGAATATGAAACACAAGGCTAAAGATCAATAGGGATGAAATGTGTAGCGGTGATTTGTTCTGCCATGTTATCTAGGCCAGTGCTACATTGGGGGGGGGGGGGGGGGGGGGGACTGAAGTGTGACTGACTGGCAAATATACATGAGGGGAGCAAACACGCGCTCAGATCATACATGACTCTGTATCTTTTGGATGGAATGATTGGAAATGAGCACACGTCTCCGTCACGCTGGCAGTAAAACATCCCTAATGTGATTCTCTGCAGGTATCTCCACTCCACACACTGCACTGGTGTGCCTACAGGGACAGGTTCAAGTGCCTCTGTGTGGCTGAAAGCTGTCATTACACGACGAGTTAAACAATACCATTATACCCTCAGGTGGAGCGGTGCTTACACCTCCTCCTCCTCCTCAGTGGCCTCGGGAACAAAAGCATGTCTGTGAGATGTCAGCAACATGAAGAAACAACAACTGGGATCCCACACTTTACTTTACTGAATTACAATGGATATTTTTTAAGATGGAATTCACTAACAGGGTTCCTGAGGGTCCTTGAAGGTGCAGTGTGTAGAGTTTAGTGGGATATATTGGCAGAAATGGAATTAAATATAATAAGTATGTTTTCTTTAGTGTTTAATTACCTGAAAATAAGAATCATTGTGTTTTTGTTACCTTAGAATGAGCTGTTTATATCCACACAGGGAGCGGGTCCTCGTCTACGGAGATCGCCATGTTTCACCGCAACACATTCTTCACTCCGACCTCGCCACATATCGACATTGGGTCATGGACTTTCCCTGTCCAGATACAACGTGCAGGGTACCCTGGGTGTGTTGGTTGCTGGCGTTCTGGGACGCCGTATCAAGTTCTGCCTGTTACATGCATTGTCTTCTTTCAAGATACACTTCTATTTCTACAGGAAATTTAACATTACCTACAGTCGCTTTCAGAATAAATGTACTGTGAATTGACGTTTCCTTCAACAACTTACGCACGTGGTTGGGTTTAGGCAACAAAAGCATGTGGTTAGAAAAAAAGAACAGGGTTTTGCTTTAGAATCCTACGGGACACCAACATCGCTTTCTCAGGTGAAAGTCTGCGTTTGTTGGACCAATCCACCACCGCTCCCACTCACCCCACTCGGACTATCGCCACCTTAACTTTCATCCTTGTCCTGCTGCGTTTCCCCCTGACGCCACCAGGCACCCAGTGGTGTAGTGGAGAGTATACTCAGGTATACCAGGTATACCCACTTCTTTTTCTATCCAGTTACAGTATACCCACCTATCAGCTAAAAAGCTATTGTAATATATAGGAGAGTATGCCCACTACCACTACCTACCTACCTAGTGGTACACCCACCTCATCAACTACCACTACACCACTGCAGGCACCGTTAAATTATAACGACAACCGGCTGCGTATCATACTGACATTTCGTTGGTTTCTGACCCCACAAGTCACGCCCATGTGCCAATTTCGATGAATTCGGGGTGAGACAGGGCTCTTCACCGCCATGTTCCTACAGTAGCCCAGAATGGACAAACCAAACACTGGCTCTAGATAAGGCTGTTCAAGTTTTTGTGTTGGCCACCGTAGTTAGCAGCCCCTCCACATCGAGAGCATCGTAAAAACACAGATTTTTTTAATGTGTTTTTACCAGTTTAAATCGCGGGGTCTGTTTGTTCCGGAGAGGTCGAGACCTCTGCGTATATTTGGCTCCAGGTAAAACCCCCCTGAACGTCTGGATCTCAAGATTCCAGAGAAAAAGGTGAGCACACATTCGCAGGTGCTATGCTTGTGGGTGGCCTCTGACATGCCAAGTGAAATTGCTTTATTCAGTGTTTTTATCGGTTTAAATCATAGGGTCAATTTGCTTTGGAGACAAAGAGATCTCTGCGTATAATTCGGCTTATAGTAAAAACCTCTTGAACGTCAGGATAAGAAATAAGGTGAGTACACATCAGTAGGTGCTAGGCTAGTCTCTATATACAGACTCTGCATTCAGTGAATGTAGAGTCTGTTGGCAAACCCTGGAGATCTTGCCTCCGGAAGAAGAGCGGAAGAGCCCTGGTTTCCGGTTGTAGGCTGTTTGTAGTCCGCCTGATATTGACCAATTACGTTTCAGCCGGCTGCAGTTGTTGCCAGGTTAAACGGTCCATGCGGTGAACATAATTGGCGTCACTGCAAACTCTGAATCCATCACAATGGTTCAGCATATTTACTTACATATAAACGGAAGTCGGAAACGGCAGTTCGCCTCCTCTGCCCAAATCAAACCGGAATGCCAAAAAAACGGGGGTCTGCCCCCAGAGGCTGTATCGCCGTCTGCCGGAAGTCAGACGCCGAATACAGCCAATGGGTTCCGAGAATGGGGCAAGGCAAGCAGGCCAACTAGGACGAGCCAAGCAGCCTAGGAAAGACACTGATGAGTAACGTGAATCTGCTTTATTCAGTGTTTCTACTGATTTTAATCACCTGGACTGTTACTTTTGAAGAGGAAGAGACCTCTGCAGATAAATCAGCTCCTGGTAAAAACCTTCTGAACAATCAACACTGAAGAAATTCTAACTGTAAGAGATTTCAGCTGGTTGCAATCTGAATTCTTCATACCAATATGCCACTAAATCCCCCTAAAATTTACACACTGTTCCTTTGTCTTAAAAGGCAATGACTTAATTAATCTAAAATTAAGGCCTTAACGGTTATGAAAATATCTTAAATCAATCTTTCAGTGGTCT